TACTCTGTAATTATATTCTCCTTATGCATTTGGTGCGTTGGAAGCATGAGCTGGATGTTGACTGAATGCACCGCGCTGAGACAAAGGATTCTCGTCTCCCAGCGCCTTCAGACACGGGGCCGCTCCTGCCTGCTGAAGGCCCCCGGCCCAGATTTGCAGCCCCACTTTGGGTTTCAGAATTAAAAACCCTCAGATGTCTTGAAGGTTTCTGCGTGGATGAATATGAATATGAATACCTTCACTAATCTCGGGGATTAGCTGCTGGATTATCAAAGTGTTTCTCTGGAACCCAGCTCTTGACAGCTTGCAATTCTCCTCCCTATTTCAGGGCACCTCTGAATTTCTAATGTCACATTTCACTTTGACATGACTGGTAATGCATATTAATTTTGAGTGACAGTATGTGCAGGCTGCATTTAAATCTGTGCCTGTCGTCTGAGTTGACTTTGCACATTAACAAAAGTACCATTTAGATTAAGCAAATGGCCCCTCTGTCTGTTTAAACATGTTTGAAGAGCCTTTTGAGCAGAAGCTTGTTTAAACACTGAGGTCTGCAGTAAAGTACAGCATCATGCAGGTTTCTTGATTATTCCAAAGAGCATTTCAAAAATGTTCCAGGATGATTTTGTAAAAGCTAAGAGGACCAACTCATAATGTGCAGTCTGTGAATATTGATTGCGAAATATATAGCTATCATCGTATTTCAACACGCTGTGTGTTTTAGAACCTGTGGTATAGTGACAACAGAATGCACATGAGATACTGAGAGCCATTAACACTAAAATATACTAAGACATCCCAGGAACGCTGCTGAGATAATGACGCTTTAATGCCGGTAAAGTGATGCAAATCTAGAGACAGAGAGAGTCTCTTTTGTGTGTAGAAACTATACAACATGCGCTCGCCTCATTCCCACTAGATATTAGGGGCGGACTGGGGGGAAAAAGTGGCCCGGGGATTAATTGACAGACAGGCCCACTTAATGCGCGGCATGTATCGGCCGGCCGGCGACTAAAGTATGTTACTTAACAAAAAACCCTATGCATTTTATGTTATTTTGGACAATTATTCATATAGTAATCACATTACCTGAGCCCTTGAGTTGCCTAGAGCAAAATAGTTACAGCATATATTTAGTCATTTTAATGTTAACAGATCATTGATGCAATAACATTTGGACCCAATTTGCCTGACTTGACACATGGAATAAAACATGGGCGTAGGAAGCATCCTCAATGTGGGTGAGACAATTTAACAGGAGGTGTGGGCAGGTGGTGGACCTCACCTCCTCTAGCGGGTACCGGGGGCAAGCTCCCCCGGGAAGACATTTTTAAATGTTGAAGTTAAATGCATCAATCTGATGCACTTTGAGAGCAAAATTAGGGACTAAATCTATGGATACATCTCTCAACACCCATATGAAACAGAACTGTAAACAGATTTACTTTTTCTTTCAACATATATTTGAACAGCAAGTGAGTGGAGGCAAAAGTGACTGCACCCAAAACAATAGACCTGCTAGCTAACTAGCCTAAACTCAGTAACAGAATGTGGGCAACACGTTCTTCTCCACAGCCGCGCGACCTCTGAGTCAGACGTCACTTCCCCCTTATCTATCCTAAGGGTACAGCCACTCCCCCTGAACCCCGTTTCCCTGCCAACCCCCCCCCTCTGAACCCAGGGCTCGCTACAATACTGTATACACAAACTATACAAAAACGCCTTTACGCTTTGGAGCTTGTTTATCCATCTGTAAGCAACTACCAGCTAGGTCTCTCAGTCACTCACTCCTGATCGTTCACTGCCAGTGACAGCTGCTACGGGCCTGATGTGTGAAAGTGAAACTATCTGATAGAATCTGTTATATGATATGTTCTATCTATCAAAACGGCCCAGCCCAGCCCAGTGGGGTGTGGGCCACACCCCTCCAGGGAGTGGCCGGAACACTTACAAATGTGGGCCGGTAAGATTTAGGTAAGCAAAAAAAAAAAAAAAAGGGAGTGGCCGGAACACTTACAAATGTGGGCCGGTAAGATTTAGGTAAGCAAAAAAAAAAAAAAAAAGGGAGTGGCCGGAACACTTACAAATGTGGGCCAGTAGGATTTAGGTCCTCCGGTCCACGCACAGCACCGGCCCGCCGGGAAAACTCCCGGTATTCCCAATGGCTAGTCCGCCCCTGGATATCACCTTTCGTTGATGCTAATTCAACACCTGGCAAATTATTGGAAGCTCCTAAACAATCTTGTGTTCTGTAAATTACTCATCAATCATTTTGATTACACAAAAGTAACATACAGAGACGTATAAAGTAACATACGGAGTAACATATGGAGTAACGTACAGAATGACATACGGAGTTACATGCAGAGAGATATAAGGAGTACAGAGGCCAGTACGGAGGAACGTACGGTGGAACGTACGGAGGAACGTACGTAGGAACGTACGGAGGAACGTACGTAGGAACGTACGGAGGAACGTACGGTGGAACGTACGGAGGAACGTACGGAGGAACGTACGGAGGAACGTACGGAGGAACGTAAGGAGTAAAGAAGTTCCAGGTCAGATGCAGGGTAACCTTTGTCATCAGAGGTCGTCAGACTTGTTGTGACAGTCCACTATGCTATCACTCTACTCTGGGAGTGTTTCAAGGAGACAGATAAACATGCCAAAAGTATGGAATTCATATGAATGCATAAATTATAATGACATTTACAGAACAATTTGTATCTTTACGTTATATTTGATATGTTGCCATCAACATGAAACGGCATCATCATCCCACTATACATAAAGTATGTGCAATGCACTTTGATGCTCCTCCATGCAAATAACACACGCATGTTGGTGGTGTTGTTTTGATGTCAGCAGCACCATCTCAAATCGGCAGTTTAATGCAGATCTGCTCTTTGAATGCCACTCATGGAATACCCCGTGAAAAGTGACGGCTGCGATGAAGAAGGGCTGTCTGCTGTGCTGTGATCATTCATAATTACATGCAAACTCCCCAGGGGTAGTTTCTACATCAGAAATCAAAAACATCCAGTTCGCTTGTCCAAATAGGATGTGAGCTCCAGAACACAAAGCCTGCCTCCCTCACACGGCTGGTGCTGAGCAGCTCTCAGCTTCCCTCCACCCACCGCCTGCAGCTCATTCAACATCATACATTACATTTCTGTTTGTTGCTGTGGTCTGTTTTCACTTCTGAAACATTGAAATAAATCCTCTCCAAATACACTCATTCATTCTGACCCTCCATATGACGATACAGAACATGGTGACCACATAACTCGTCTTCAGAACCCTGTAGTTTATCTGTGCAAGTTAAAGGACTCCCACAAAATGACCATTTTACATGTTTACATTCTTTAAATATGCTGCATGTTTTCTCAGTTCACCACTGAGAAGCACAACATAGAAACAGATGTATGACCGATCACCAGCGTTGGGAGTGTTACTTGAAAAATGTTACAATGACTAATTACCTGTAAAAAAAATCAGTAACCTAATCTTTGTAAAATAAAAAGTAATGTAACCTGATAACCTTCTGTTTACTTTGGGGTTTCCTCAATATAGAATGCTACAAATTCATTGAAAATAAATACATTTCAATAAGATGTTTTTAAGTAAAGTGTACTCCATGACAACAGATACATGTGACCTTAGAATTCCAATCTTTATTCCAGACTCAGGTCCATATCACACAAAAAGACAAAACACACATCAATAAATGAGATAAAAAGCTAAACACAAAACAGATAAAAACAAACAGATAAATACATAAAATCAGTCCAATCACAGCGAGCCACACATGCTCACCGTCTGTAGAGGCTGCTGCGCCAAGGTCTCCAAATCATGGAAGAGAACCGGGTAGAACTCTTCACAGGGTTAATTCAAATGGAAATAACATAATTGTCCGAGTCTACTAGGCGACACATGAATTTGTACATTAACTTTCTTAAAAGGGCTTGACAGGTAGGTACCCCCAAGATAACAAACAGCTGGCTGGCACTGTGCCATCTTGGTACCCTCAGCAGCAACCGTAAAGCATCATTGTATGCAACTTTTAGTTTTTGCATGCTTCTAGCCTTGTAGTTACTCCACAGGTGAGCCTTGTAGTTACTCCACTTAGAGAAGACGAAACCAAGAGGAAGAAAAAACATTTTATTCTAAGTAGAAATACTTCAGTCTTTAAATACTTTAATACAAGTGAAAGTACTGAATTCAAAATGTAAAGTATTGCCAGCTAAATGTACTTAAAATATCAAAAGTAAAAGTACGCATTATGCATAATGGCTGATTTGAACATATCATATAATTATGGAATAATAAAGGATTCCATCTTCGAATTGCTTACAAATACATGTAAGAACATTTCAATGTTGTAGTTTATTACTAAGACCATTTTAGTTTCTTTATTAATATATTGGTAGAAATGTACTGCATTATATCATATCAAAATGTCATTTGTTTTATATGTTAACAGTAGCTGGTAACTATTAGTGTTAATAAATGTAGTGGAGTCAAAAGTGCAATAAGTGTTCCAAAATGTGAGGGAGTAAAAGTATAGTAAGTTAAATAGAAACACTGAAGTAAAGTAGAAGTATGACAGTACTTTAGTAAATGCACTTAGTAACTCACCTCTGTAGATTAAGATATCTTGTAAAACATTTTTTAATGTATTTTTATTTTTATAATAGTTGTTTTAATGTGCACACCAAAGTAAATCTGTGTATGCATAAACCTGCTTGACAATAAACCTGATTCTGATCTAGTGGAGGTTTGACTGTACACATAAGCACATTCTGGACTGAAGCGTCCTCCCGTCTGCAGCCTGAGAAAATGTATTGTGTCATCTTTCGCAGTCATATTCCCGCTGTGTGCACCGAGGGAAGGAGGGGGGGGGGGCACCGAGCGAGCGCGAGGGGAGGGATCTGAGCGAGCAGCCAGTAGTGCGATTCTCCAAACTCTGCTGCGTACGTTCCTGGGAGTGCGCGCATGTTTCCCGCGGGCGCTAACGCAAAGCCGCACCGCGCTTACGATGTTGTGAATGAGGAGTGACGTCAGCGGCCGAATGTCAACAATGTAGCGACTGTAGGCGTTCCAGTCGAGAGTAACAAACAGCGGAGACGGAGCGGCACGCCGCGCTGGAGCACCGCGCGCACACACGCACGCAATCGTACACACAACAGAGTCACACACCGTGTTTTCTTACTGAAGTGACACAAAAGCGAGGTGCTGCATCGGGACAAGAAGTGACCTCTCTGAGGAAAGGAGTCATCATGTGAGAGAACTTATGAGGGACACGGACAAAAGGGCTGGAGACGCGCGGAATAGAAAGTAAAAGGTGAGCTGCTGCACGTTTCTCCGCGTCATTTCTCTCCTCTGATATATTCCTCTCTGTTTCTCGTGTGTGAATCCACCGTTTCTCAACTTCAGTGTTTTGTTGATGCTCTCTAAGCCGAGTTGCAAACTTGCATTAGTGTCGCAGCCCGAAGAGTCCTCCCTGTGATCTGTGGAAAAAGTCACTATAACTGAAAGGAAGGAAAACCGCGTGCATGTCTCTGAAGCTTGGCGTGGTGATAATATTGGAGGCTGTAATGCGTCGGGGTGTGAACGTGGGTTCAGGAGTGAAACACACTCTGAACCACATCCTGTTATGCTTTCAGTCAATACACCGTGTGCGCTCCATTTTCTCTGTGTTTGTCAAGTCGGTGAGCGGAGATCCCGCTTCTATAGCAGACATATGCACACATAAAAAGAGAAGCTGTCACCTGTAGCGTCATAAAACACCTCAATCACTTCATGAACAATCATCATTATTACCTTATTACTATTACTATGAGAAGTATTATTATTATTAGCATTATTATTATCATTATTAAACAGTGCACTTCAATGCTTTCCCCCAATCTCATTGCATGATGTCATCACCTGCCCATTAATCAACATGTTTAAATATTTGCTGTGTAAGGATAAGGACGGTCCTTATTTGCTCCGACAACCAATAGAATCACGGACATCTCTACGGTGTCTTTTAGGAACCCATATTTTCAATATCATTGACCCCTCGTGTTTAATATCGGGAGCAAGCTTTGTATACCATTTCCTGGCTAAAAAACTAAACATTTTGATTTGAAGTGCGGTATGAACCCAGCTGCGCCTTTACGCGCAGTCCTGCTTTGTCATGAGGATGCTGCAGCAGGGCTTAGTCAGTCCTGTCATTTTATTATGGAGGAGTCAGCGGTGTAGTGAGGAATGTTGTTATGCAAGTAAGGTCTCACAAGTCGATATATTGTTGGAAAACACTTCTGGGGAAAAAGAGAACACCCATAAGCAGAGCAGTTTTATAACACATGCACCTATATACTTCAATACAATATTATAGTGTGTTTTTGAGGGCATTTACAGTGAACTGAAATAATCTGATCGTCCACCTTTGCTTTGCTGGAATGAAAGGAAACTGTGACTAGACGCAGAATGAGTGTGTGTGTTTCGGGATACTATTGTTTGATCGCCACGTGTTTGCGATGAGGTGCCATACGGGAGTGATGCTGCCATTAATGATACAGCATTCTGAGGAGCCTCTTTGTCTGTTTGTGCTGATGCAACGCGGTGATGGCACTGAGGGGATGCAGCATCACCCCCCCCCCCCCCCCCCTCGCCCATTCCTCACATCATGTGTCACGTTGTAAATATTGGAGTGTGTGCAGCAGATGATTTTGAGTACATGCTGGGTGGAGGTTTTTGTATCTGATCATCGAGATTTGAATGGGGGCTTATGAAAACACATCGCTCTGCTTGCACAACACGTGCACGCGGCAGGCAACACTCATGCGCAGTTTTACGCAGGGAGCCTTTTGTTCTGTACAGTAGTCCCGCTGCCTTTCTATTCCCGTGCATGGCAATCCCCTGCTTATTGTAAGAGGGGGGGGGGGGGGGGGGGGGTGTCCCAAACTGTAAAGCCCACAATGACTCAGTCAGGATTAAATGCCACTTCATCATATCTGCCAGCCAGCTCTCTGACATGTCTAATAACATGTCTCTGAATCTGCCTTCATTCTTCTTTGTACTTTAATTACAAGAAAATGAATTGTAATAGCAAATGCCGTTTTCACTTTGGCAGCACTATGAAATCATTATATTCTGCTCTTTCGTTGAGGAACAAGACATTTCCATTCAATCAGTATAGATGTTCACGTGTGTGTTTTTGCCTTGCTGCATCTTTAAAGAGTGTGCACCAGCTGATAGCGGCATCACGAACATACTTCTTATCTATCGCTGTCTATTATTTTTAAACTCCCTTTTATTTTACTTCTTTTTATTTATACAGGGCAATCTTTTAAATCAATATCAAAATGTGATTAAAAGGAGCTACTGACAACAAAAGAAAGAGTAAATGATAGCCTACCAAAGTAATTATAAAAAAGCAAGAATCTTGAGAGCAGAATATACAATCAAATCAGATTGATCACACCTGCTGTCCACAGACTGGAAACACACATTGCTGCATCATACTGTGAAATGTTCAGCTGTATATTCTCTGTTATTTGCTTAAGATGAGCCAAATGTCACACCACCCGTCTAAGTATGGGATCCTCCTGGAAAAGACTCATATTTGAACAGTTAAAGTTGCTAACTTGCTGACATTAGGTCCAGGTCCAAAACACGTTTAGTAAAAGGCGTCCTCTTCCTGTGGCCCCAGCTTTCTGAAAGTGCATCAAAATAGATAAGGACCCTGATGAAGAAAAATGATAAGTCATGAAGTTATTATTATATAACAGAGATCTCGGGCTGAGCTTGGGAACATCTGAGTCTGACTGCTGTTTGGGGATCTCGACATAATGACTCCCTCAGGGCTCAGCCTCTGAAATCCCACCCGGCAACAGGATCCTCCATGTGACCCGGTCCATTCTGAAGTGTAGCGTGCAGGGGGGGGGGCTCCTACCGCTTTCTACTGAGCCTGTAGTTATCATCTTTATGTTGCTGAAGTTCCTAGAGGGCAATAGAAGCTGTTCGTAACCAAGCACTTAAGGGTTAATGATTCATGAAATTGCATTAGGAGTGATCTCATTGATGAGAGACAGATCTCTCCAGAGAACAGCCCTAACGTGCTGAAACGGCACCACTTTCACTCTTAGGAATCAGAGCAGAAGTGTGGTTTCAAAGAATAGCAGAACCCCAAAGCTGCAAATCCACATCTATTGCATAGATGTTTTGTTTATCTTTGCATCACTTAGGACATTTGAGTAACCCCCACCAGCTCAGCTCAACATCCCAAGTCAGTGCCTTGGCCAGAAAAAAGAGCAGAAACACATTCCCATAGCGCTCCCACATCAGCACAAAGGCATGTTTGACTGGGCTGCTGCCAGTGAGAGGCAGCCACCAGCACTCTGCTGCTGCGTGGAGACCTCAGATCTGCACTACACCAAGAGCTGTTGTTCCCCCTCTTTCTGATCCGTTCTTCTCTCTGTCATATCATGGCTGCTCATTCTTCTCCTCCCACCGTTCACTGTGCACTGGCACCGTCTCTCGCCGTGTGAAATCTGCCCTCAGTCTGCAGAGTTACAGTCTGTCTCTGTGTTTGATGCGCAGCACACACACACTTGCCAATAAGCTATCAAATCTGAAACACCACAGGCAGCGCTCTGAATGTTTTGTGTTGCCTGTAAGAAAGGAGAGAGAAGCGTAAATCATCCTGGTGTCTGCGTCAGACCCTTCTGATGATCTCACACACGGAGCGCTTCACCTTCTCAACTCTGGCTTAATCCTCTTTAGTGACCCGTCCTGGGGTCCTCCATGAATTTCAACTGTGCAAGACATATTGAGCTAATCAAAGGATGCACATCTGGTCCTGATAGCTTTGTAAAATAAAAACTTGAGAGTAGAAAAGTTAGGGCGTTTTAGTATGATGTTATCGAAGCAGTTCAGTGGGTAAAGCGGCGTTCAGTGAATGAAGAGAAAGAAATGAGCACGATGTAATGACCTGTTTGGCTTGGTGCAGCACTATACTGCTGGCAGGAGGCAGCAGCACATGTTGTGTGTACATAGTGTGTTCATTCCAAGAGTGAGGAGGAACCTGAGGTTTTGGACACTGATCAATGATCAGCCTCTTTGCACCCTCACAGCTGCAGGGCCACGTGACATTCACATTGATATCAGTCAAATGTGCAGCAGTGCATGCATGTTACCAGAAACTGCACTTGTCTTTTGATTTCAATCCAGGAACTTACTTTCCTTCAATTTCAATTATTTAATTTTTAATATTGTACTCAGAATTTTAATTGAATCTATATTTTCCCGAAATTGCTACATTGTTGTGAAATTGCCAGTGGACACCTATCTCGACACATCATCTGAAAGGTGCATGCATTATAGATGGTTCTTCCTGATACACATCCAGCGTTGCATAAAACACCTTTCCATGTTAGAATGATGATGACACCCTGCAGTGTCTGGCCCCCCTGGCCCCCCTGGAGAAATGCTCTGTCCACCGTATGAAGCCTCTGGACAAACAGAGTCTCTGGTGTTTGTCTTGGGAAACTCTGGAGCTCACATCAATAGTGATATAAACGTTCCCCTTGTCTGTCAACTGCTGAGTCACACATGAAGTGGACTCTGTCGCTGACTGGAGATCAGTCCCTCTGCCTGTCACACCAACAGTCTGAGGCCTGTCATTCATTACAATGCCCTTTGTGGTGCATCACCCTTGTCTTCTAGTTGTTCAACCCGTCAGAGTAGTTTGTAACAATCCACTTTGGTTGAAGTTGTTGGTTTCCTGCTGAAGGTTCATTCTGTGTTGCAGCTGCTGATCTGATCACATGATCTGCGTTGACAGATGGAGATCTTGTGAGATGATTAAAAGCATCTAATGGCGTATTTACACTACAGCGCGGTTTAAGCGTGCCGTGCCCGGTCCGTTTTTGGTTGCGTTTCCACTTGGCGTAGTTCCGGCTAGCGGGTACTTTTTCATAGTTTTCTGGCTCTCCAAAATCCAGGTTCTTTCCGGGCCAACAACCGGTTATGCTAAACTAGTGAGAGAATCGCTGGCGACTACAACACAATGAACATATTTTACCGTGATTATGCTCTGACCGTCCACACTCACAACAACGGCCTACAGACATAAATAAAGCAGTGACTGTATTCGCCATGACACAGACAGTCTGCGGTTTGTACTTGTTTCACTTTTGTCTAGTTTCTGAACAGATATGAGGAGCTGTGAGCTCTGAGGGCTAACAGCTAACGGCTGATGCTGGTTTTGTGGTTTGCATTGAGGATGACGTCACTGCTCCGCCTACACTGCGTTACTATAGTTACTGCCCCAGTTCCTAAACTGTAATAGAA